GATGTGTGAAGACACAAGGTAGATCTACAACCGGCGTCAGCTGAATTTGACAGGATGGCCTTAAGGGTTAGACAAAAACGCCTTAACAATATTTCTGTAGAGGAAAGGTGGGATGTGATATGGCAGGGGTGATAATGACAGCACTTTTCAAATATCTGAAAGGCTGTCCTACAGAGGGGGGGCAGAATCTGTTCTCGATCATCCCAGAGTGCAGGACACTCAGCGATGGGGCTCAAGTTAAAGGAAGCCAGATTTTGGCTGAATATCAGGAAAAACTTCCTGTTAGAGCAGTACGACCTCAGGAGTTGGGGAGTGCTCCAACCCTGGAGGCATTCAAGAAAAACACAGATAATCACCCGGCAGATACGCTTTGATTTGTATTCCTGCATCGAGCAGGGGGTTGGACTGGATGGCCTTGCAAGGCCCCTTCTAACTTCACGTTTCTATGATTTCTATGATGTGAAAGTAAGAGAATACAAAAAGATGCGGAAAAACGAATATTAAAGGGTATATAATTCTTCCTTGAATCCAGAACGTGTATTTTCCTATGCTGTGTTGAATCCCTGACAGCTCACACCACAGGTGAAGGGTTACGCACATATTAAGAAATCTTAAAAGGAAGATTTCACTCTTAAAATATACAGATCAGCAGCAAGAAACTGAAGAGTGTCACACCAGCAGTGATATTCTTTTGGAGAATAATGGTTGCTCACTAAAAGAAAGGAAGATAATACTTAAAAGAAAGGTAGGTAAAATACTTAAACGTGACCACAAAACAGATTCCAAAATAGATATAATTTCCTCCCTCCTATACAGAACCAGGAAATATATGATTTCAACACACTCAGCCCAGCTTTGGGGTGAGTTTTCAGAACTTCAGCTTATTCAACGCATCCCCTTCATGAGATCCAAAACCATCATCTAAGAGAACACAAAGTTCGCTTTTAACCCAAAAAGGCATCCAGGTGAGCTTCCTTTAAGTTTACTCACCACTTCCAAACAGCAGTGCTGAACGAACGGTCATTAATATGCTGGATCTTCATGACTTCGTTTGCAGGTCAGAAAGCAATCACAAAATTGGAAGGGGATTTAAAAAAAAAAAAAAACCTTGTTCAAGCAAAAGGCTACCTCAGGCAACACATTGCACCTGCAAGTTTAAAAGTGTCTCTCTCAATTTGCTCAGATGAACTGACCAAGCCATGACAAGGAGACACAGATCATGGAAGAAAAAAGCAGTCCAAAAGTTTCTTACTCAATAATCCCGAAATGATCTAATCAGTAAAATAGCAGGAGCAGTGCAGGAGCCCGTTGGTTAAATATTACTATTGTTTCTGCGGGCCCTTGGTTAGCGGAGTGGCTGACAAGGACGTTTTATCGACTCCAGATTTCTTGGTGTGCCTTCATGTAACAAGCCGTTGTTGCCGTTTCCAAGTTTAATCGTGGAGTTTCTTATAATCTCCTCTTATCAAAAGGCGAGAGGAAGAGAGAGCCAGCAGCCTTCGACTATTTATTTGAACTTGCAGCTTTTGGTTTACGGGGAAGAGAGAAAAGAAAAGAATCTGGAGATGCCTGTAGCCTTTTAAGAAAAAATAAGGGGTGGGGGAAGTCGTCAAACAAGGTGGTAGCTCTCTTGGGAAATCTGAACCCTCAGGTGTCTTCGCTCGCAGAGAGATGAAAAGCTCGCCTCTCTCTGCGCTGGTGATTCTGGACACTGGATTACCTCGTCGGCAGCCTATCTGATCAATTGAGGAGTTCTTAAGTGCCTCCCGGAACGCCTCTGGCCAGGACTGAGCTCCACGCGGCTGTCATTATATTTGTACACGATCCCAGCTCGGCCCAGAGGGAGGAGCCACGGACCGCAGAAGCTCAGCTGCCAGGATCCCGATGGTAAAAAAGGCATGATGTAAGCTCAGAGTTGAATAAGCAGTCATCATTCGCCTTAACCCATGGTTTCCCAGGCTGCAGGAACGTTCATCCTTCATTCGGAGCAGCAGCAGCTCTGGAGGGGTTCCTCGGGAGCAGCAGGGGGAGTTGAATAAGCAGTCATCATCCGCCTTTAACCCATGGGTTCCCAGGCTGCAGGAACAGCCATCCTTCATTCGGAGCAGCAGCAGCAGCAACTCTGGAGGGGTTCCTCGGGAGCAGCAGGGTGGAAAAAGCTATCTAATTCCACCTTAGTCCTCGTCTTCCTTTCTTGCCATGACAGTGCAGTGAAACTCTTTAATCACTCCCTAAACGAATAATCATCAATGTGCTGTCAAGTCAATTCTGACGGATGGTCCCTAAACCAATAATCATCAATGTGCTGTCATGTCAATTCTGACAGATGGCAACCCTTTTTAGGTTTTTCCAGGTAGAAAGGACTCAAAAGGGGCTTACCATTCTTTGTCCTGGAGACCTTCAGGGACGACGGTTCAGCTTGCCCAGGGCTACCCAGGCTGGCTTTTCTCCCAGGAGGTCCAATGGGGACTTGAGTTCCCAACCTCTGCAATAATCATCAATGTGCTGTCATGTCAATTCTGACAGATGGCAACCCTTTTTAGGTTTTTCCAGGTAGAAAGGACTCAAAAGGGGCTTACCATTCTTTGTCCTGGAGACCTTCAGGGACGACGGTTCAGCTTGCCCAGGGCTACCCAGGCTGGCTTTTCTCCCAGGAGGTCCAATGGGGACTTGAGTTCCCAACCTCTGGCTCAGCAGCTGGAGACCTTGGGACTTGCGTTCCCAACCTCTGGCTCAGCAGCCGGAGACCTCAACCAACGGAATGGTCTACGTGTCATGTCCATTCCGCGCTACATTTCCACACGGCTGTACACCTGATTCTCCGCTCGGAATAAACATGTGGCTTTCCAGGCCCTTTCAAACCAAGACGGGGAGCAGATGATGTCTAATCTGCCACTTAGCAAGGGCATTTTCTCTTGGACAGAAGAACACGACCAAAAGAAAAAAGAGCTGAAAAAAGAAAGAAAGCCACTTCTCGCCTTTCTGAGTCATGGCTTTCAAAGCAAGACAGCTCAGAAGCCCTTCCACCCCTCGCTCTCTCAACCCTCATTTAGCCAGATGGGGCAATTTCACTGCCTAGCCACCTGCTATGACGCTTCACGTAAACTACCGTGTTTCCAATTTCACGGCCTCGTGCCAGCCAGCCTCGCTCGCTTCTCGGCAGCATCCTCCAAGCTGGGCTCCCTCTTTGTTGCAACCCACCCGTCCGCTCTACGCAACTCCGACAAGCGCGCAGGAACCAGAAGAGCTCCCTGTGGTTTACCCGCCGAACCTGGCAGCTGGCGGCTAGCTTGTGCCGGGTGAGGAGGTGGTGGAAGGAAAAGGGAAGGCAAACCACGCGGAGGGAGGAAGGGCTGATTTCTGTGGAACGATGGCCTCCCACCACACAGGAGAAGCAATGGGCAAGAGAGAGGGAGGTGACCTGACATTCCATCCCAGTTTCTTTTGGAAAGTTTCCGCACCCCGAACACGGAGGAGCAGAAAGAGGGCATCAATGCGCTGAGAAGGAACCCAAGAAGGAAATTTGCTTTATCCAGAAGGCACCTTCTTACACAAAAATTATCACAATGCATTGATGGCTTGGCTCAAGGTGCTTCTTATTCATTACGATTATATTCTGCACTTCTCTTCACTTTGGTTACATGGGAGGGAGGGGGCCTTTGCCTTCTGGGAGTCAATGCAAGCAAATAACATTTCACAAAACGATCTCAGTCAAGACTGGGCTCAAATCGGTCCAGCGTGGAGGCTGCTAGACCCGGAGGAACCGTCTCAAGGTTCCAGCAAAGAGAGAAGAGGGACCTAGCAGCAGTGTTGCAGGGACCAGCGTCTAGGAAGACCACAGACGCTCAGTCCAGGTACGTGTGTCGGGTACCAGAATCGAAACCTGCACAGTTTCCTTTTCCATATAAGCTACTTCTGTTTCCCATCAAGGTGTCTTAAACTTCAGCAGCTTGATCTGCCAGGGAGCGGAAAAACTTTTATTTAATTCTTCTTTTTAGCCCCTGGAAGGGGTAGCGTCATTTTCTGGTACAGTTTGGGAGGGGCACAGTCTGTTTTTCAGATGGATATATCCACATCCTCCTACCTTTCCAAGATTGCATAAGTTCACAACTGGATCAACATCTTGACCCACAATCGCAACCTGCGAGGGATTTTTCAAGCCAGGCGAACCAAGGTCAACACTTCGGAAGCCATAGGCTCAGCAAAGAGCATCCTTCGAAACCCCTGCGTTATCGCACAGCCACACCTGTTTCCTTTTGACAGAGGGACACCCTCCACCAGTTCAGAACCTGATGTTCCTAAAAAGCTTGCAAACCTGACTGTGTCCATACTGGGAAATGCACTGTGCTGATCCCAAGACAGGCAAGCTTTGCTAACCCTGCACCGTTGACAGGGCTGCTAAGATTCTATGCAACAGATGAATGTAAATTTCAGCCATACGGCATTTTAGGGCAAAAAATGACAAAAGCCATTAAACAACAAATTGTGCAAACGACTACACAGGCTTAACCCATTTTTAATGAAACACAGAGTATCATCATCAGTGCACTGCTGAAGTTACTTATGAATGCATTCAACCGAATGGGTTGAAAAGTGATATATACATTTTTTGGAATGAACAGCTTTTGTGCTTCAAGAGCAGACCAGCAGAACAGGAGGATTTCCCCCACTTACATGATAGTTTTGGGATTCTGCAGCATGCAGGCTTTTGGTCCGAAGGTGGTCACCGGGCATGGTCCGTGCAAGGAGCGCGTCCTCCTGAAACAGAAAGCATACAACTAAGTTCCTGTTTCATCTTATGCTTTTCCTGTAAATGCTTTTTGAAAAGTGCACTATTTTAAAAAGAGTAGAAATTTAGCAGATTGCTCAACATACAAGTATTATTATCAAACAAATAAATAAATAAATAAATAAATAAAGTGATATATATGTTTTTTGGAATGAACGGCTTTTGTGCTTCAAGAGCAGACCAGCAGAACAGGAGGATTTCCCCCACTTACATGATAGTTTTGGGATTCTGCAGCATGCAGGCTTTTGGTCCGAAGGTGGTCACCGGGCATGGTCCGTGCAAGGAGCGCGTCCTCCTGAAACAGAAAGCATACAACTAAGTTCCTGTTTCATCTTATGCTTTTCCTGTAAATGCTTTTTGAAAAGTGCACTATTTTAAAAAGAGTAGAAATTTAGCAGATTGCTCAACATACAAGTATTATTATCATCAACACCACACAAAAGAGGGGCATGATTTGGTTCTAAATCGAGCAGTTTTACGCGGATTTGAGTACCACGAGAATCAAACCTATGTAGCTGCATTATAGTGGTCCGGAAATGTATATCCTGGTCATGAGTGAATCTGGGGCTTATCAGAGATACACCTTTGCTTTCATAAGATCTGCAAAACCCATCAACCAGAGCCCAGCACAGAAACATACACTAAGAAGGACAGGGTGCCTCTGAGCATATTTCGAATCTAAGACTTTGTTTTCAGTGCCAACTCATAGACCTTTCACAGAGGCCTCCCACACCTGGTTATTGCAAACCATCCCAGCAGCGTAACTTAGGTGGAAAGCAGCAGGAAAAGAGAAAGACGAAACACAAGAGGGACTGACTTCCTAAAGGAAGCCACAGGCTTGAGTTTGTAAGAACTGATCAGGGCAATTGAAGAAAGGACAATTTTGGAGGTCACTCAATTCATAGGATCGCTGCAAGTCAGAAGAGCCTTGATGGTACGTAACAACTTAAGTGACAAAAATCATCTTATTGTTATTGTTAAGAAAATGGGAATCGGGTCATATGGAAGATGAGATGCAAATTATCCAGAGATCAATGAGTACGGTACATCTCACACTACCTTCCAACTATCTGTAATCTATTTATTCCCCATAGATCCTCGAGGCCAGCCCCTGTCAAGGAGGCCCGGGGGGGGGGATCGAACTCCCAACCTCTGGCTCCATGGCCAGAGGCCTCAACCACAGAGCTAGCCAACATCTGGCTCTGTGCAAAAATTCTGGCTGTGCAAGTAAGCCTTCTCTCTAGCTACTGACAATAAATGATAAATGCAGCACAATAAGAAAGGAAGGAATTAGGAGACAAAATGGAATTAGGATGCAAGTCGCTGTCATAGAAGAGGGGCAAATCACATCACATATCAGGTTCAATCGTTAAAGTTTCTTGATTGGAGAATTTCTCCATTTAACAGATATGCAGTTGCCCTACAGTTACAACCCAACTGATGCCCATTGCTGGCGCGGGATCATGGCCAAAGCTCCTGCCGTGGCTTTAGGGAGAGTATTCCTATTGCACCACTAAGCAGTCTTTACAAACCATCACAAGTGATTCACACAAGAATATTAAAGCTACATAACGCAGACTATAATTTGGATGACTAACTGGCACACTTCTTATTAACTATTCTGGATTCTCCTACCATAAATTAATCATCTCTCTCTCTCACTCACACACACACACACACGAGTTCACCTGTACAGCTAGTTATGTCATTAGTTTGGTAGACACCATGAATATGAAGCAGGCGGTGTGTTCTCTGAAGTTAGTTTGTTTAAGCATTCAGACAATCGAAATTCTGAGCCATGCCTGCATAAAAATCATTATGGCTTGCACCCTATACCAAATCTACCTGCTTATTTTGAGTAACGGATCCTGTATCATTTATTTGCGGGCAGAGGCAATGAATAATATAACTGAAAATATGTGGTAGGAGGGCCAGAAAAACAAGGGAAGTAGCAGGACTGTATCAGATTCACGGACGTTGTACGTACGCCAGAGAACGCAGGGTCTGGCAAGTGGTGTAGTAGATTGAAGTGGTGGTGGTGGTACCTCTTGTCCCCTCAACCCCACCCCATGATTATCGAGGGCAGGGATTCCCAACCTTGGATCCCCAGATGTTCTTGGACCATCTCCTAGACATCATGACCAGCACAGCTCATGGTGAAACCTTCTGGGAGTTTTAGTCCAAGAACATCTGGAGGACCCAGGGTTGGGAACCACTGAGCTAGGGCATCAAGGGCAGAAGACCCATCTGGTTCTAAACCCTGAATTCTGACTCAAGAACAATTTGAAAATGGAGGGAGGGATGTATGGATGGGTGGATGTATGGATGGGTGGGTGGATGGATGGATGAAGGAAGAGAGAGAGATGGGGGGGGGGGTGGGGGGAGGGGGGGTGGACGGACGGATGGATGGGTGGATGGATGGATGGAGGAAGAGAGAGATAGGTGGGTGGATGGATGGATAGATGGAGGGAGGAAGGGAGGAAGAGAGATGGATGGATGAATGGTCTGTCATATTTCTTAAAAGAGCACATTCCACAGAGAAAACAAAGCAAACGGTATTTCATACAATTAAAAGCTCTTCCTGCAGGTGGTATTAGATATCCTTCCAGACCCCACAGCTGGCAGCCCAGGTCTACCCCACCCGACACTTCCAGAGGAATGACAGGTTTCATCCCTGGCCAAGAGGGAAAGCGAAGACAACAGACCTTTTGTCTTGCCATGTGTTTGAAGTAGATACGGGTGCCCTGTGTTACCAAGGGAAGAAGAGGAATGCCTTCACGTGCAAGCGTGGGCCCACACTTATGGAGGGAGAGAAAGACAAATATGTGAAAGTTTATTGTTTACAAAGGCTGAAGAGGCAAAAGCAAGTTTGGCTTATGTTTACAGAGCTGATGCTACTCTTCTCTTTCCTGCTCCCTCCTTGCCCAGAGGTCTGGCATGCTTCCTCATCTCTTCAGCACAGGTACTAAGGGCTGCTGTATGTCAGAATAGACCTCACGGCGCATGACGATGATCTGAACCAAAAAAGAAGTCTGGAAAGAATGGGTGACAAAATAAAAGGCAGAGTTGATCAACACCTACTTCGTCTTCTCCCAAAAGGACAAAGATACTAAAAGAGAATTAAAGATGAATTGAATAGATTACTGCCCAAGACAGGTAAAGAAATAATAACAGAAACACTTTACTACTCTAAATATTTTCAATAATTCCCAGGGCCAGATGAACTGCATTCAAGGAAACTGAATTTGTAAACTCAGAGCCTCTGTATATCATTTTCAAGAATTTTTGGAAAGCAGGCTAGGTTCCTGATGACTGGAAGTAAGTAAATCTTCAATAAAGGGCGAAGAAAGAAGATCCAGGCAACGACCCAATGGTCAGCTTAACAGCAACAGAAATCACAGTGTTTAGAACAAGAGCATTAAACAATCAGTTTGAGAACATTTAAAAATGCACACTGTGATTTCTAAGAGCCGATGTGGATTTCTCAGAAACAACTTGTATCAGAATCTAATCTTATCTCATTTTTTAAAAAAACATACAGTTACAAGCTGGCTAGATTGGGAGAATTCTAGGAATAGAAGGTATCTTGGCTCCAGCAAGGCTTCTGACAAGGCTTCTCATGATGTTCTCACAGACATGAGGGCAAAATGTGGGCCAACCTTAGTTAGGCATCCTTCAGTCTCGAAAGACTATGGTAACATGCTCTGTATGGAGGACTTGGAACAGTGTCTAGTGTGGCTGAGGAGGCCGATTCGAGAGTGACAGTCTCTTCCACACTGAAGACAAATCCAATCTGCCTCCTGTCCAGCTCCCTGACTTTGCTGCATTTGTGACTCCCTCTTTGCCTCGGCCTGCTGGACAAGGGTCTCCTCAAATTGGGAGAGGCCGTGATGCAACGCCTGCCTCCAGGCTGAACGCTCAGAGGTCAAGGTTTCCCATCTGTTGAGGTCTATTTCTAAGGCCTTCAGATCCTGCTTGCAGACGTCCTTGTATCGAAGCTGGGGTCTCCCTCTGGGGCAATTTCCCTGCACTAATTCTCCATACAGGAGATCCTTTGGAATCCGACCATCAGCCATTCTCACGACATGCCCAAGCCAACGCAGACGTTGCTGTTTCAGTAATGTATACATGCTAAAAATTCCAGCTCATTCTAGGACTACTCTATTTGGAACTTTGTCCTGCCAGGTGATACCAAAAATCTGTCGAAGGCAACGCATATGGAAGGTGTTCAGCTTCCTCTCCTGCCATGCACAAAGGGTCCAAAACTCACTGCAGTACAGGAGTGTGCTCAGGACACAGGGTCTATAGACCTGGATCTTGGTATGTGTCGTCAGCTTCTTATTGAGCCATACTCTCTTTGTGAGTCTAGAGAACGTGGTAGCTGCTTTGCCAATGTTTGGATGTGAATTTTCACTTGACTGATGGATCCTCTCCAGAGTGCTCACCAGTGAGGCTTTGTCATACTACAGAGAACTGAGATGATACTGGCTTATAAATGACTAAGTGGCGGGATTAGAGGAAATAGTCATCAAATTTTGGAGTCACATCTAACTAGGAGGGGTGGCTAAGACTTCAGAAGTCAGAATCAGGATTTAAGACAGCAAAAAACCAAACAGATTTCATCAGGGGCAAATGCAGAGTCTTACAGTTCGGAAGTAAAAGAATTAAATGAGCAAATGTAGAGCAGGTGAGATCTAAGCAACATAACATTTGAAAAGGGTCTGAAGGTGTTATGACAAACTAAACGTGAGCCTGATGCAGAGATGAAAGAGAAAGCTAATGTAACATTAGGCTGCATCAATAGAAGTACAGGATCCTGACCAACGGACATACACTAGTGGTATCATTCCATCCCACTTTGGTCAGATCTCATCTGGAGTGTTGCGTCCCATTCATCATTTAAGAAGGATAGGAACAAGGTAGACCATGTCTAGAGCAGGGCTACAAAGATGGCACAAGGTCTGGAAGCCAAGCCCAATGAGGAAAAGTTGAGAGATCAACGCATGCTTAGCCTGAAGAAGGGGAAACAGAGAGGGGATAATGACAGCCCTTCAAATATCTGAAGACTTGTTGTATGGAAGGGGAAGCGAGGTTGTGTTCTTGGTGCCGAAGGGGGTCGGTTCTCATTCTCTGGATTTGTTTAAGCAGAGGATGATTGGCCATCTTGCTGGGAATGTGAATTCCTGTACTGGCAGATGACCCTTGGGGCTCCTTCCAACTCTATCGTTCTACGAATCTGTGGCTCTGATCCTGTGATTCGGATCCTGGACTAATTTTCCCTGGGCCACCTGGAGC